GAAGGAAAATCTGTCTGCAGGGGAGGAGACAGGTGACAAGCAATACAGGAGCCCTGAGGTCACTCAGCTGCCCCATGCACTGTGCAGGGACCCACAAGCACCGGGGATCTGCGTGGCCTCTCCTGCAGCTCACACCAAGGGAGACTACGTCACTTCCTGTGGCTATTACAAAGTTAGCGCTGGCTGTGTGGCCTGAACAGTGGCATTCTGGAGGTCAAAGGTCAGGGCTGGTCTCCCCAAGCAACACCAGAAGTCAGGGTCCTTCTGGGCCTCCGGGAAGGAGCGGTCTCCTCTCTGCAGCCTCTGCTCTGCTGTATGTGGCCTCGGAGGACAGCCTTGTGCCCCCCTCTGACCTGGGGTGCTTACTCACCCACCCTCTGTTCTTAGGGCCTCTGGTGACACCTGCACAACCCTTCCATCAGGGTCCTTGAGGCTCTTGCACCTGCCAGGCCCCTCTGCACGCAGACCCACATCTGCCTAGGCTCCTGGGGCTGGGCCGTGGACATCTGGGGCTGGCTCCTACCCACCACAGATTGGCACAAGAAGGCAAGGAGGCGAAGGCAGAGCAGAGCCCAGGCAGCGTCACCAAGGGCCAGCTTCAAGGTCACTGGAGTGCCAAGTTTGAGCAGGCTGCATCCATGTGGACCCATAGTGTCCGTGGTCCACAAAGACAGAAACAGAGGCCACAGGTCAGGGTCTTGGTAGCCACCAGGAGCACCTGTGATGTCCAAAATGCACAGAATCAGGGCAGATCCCAGGGCAGGAAAACAAGAGGAGTCAGGAGAGTGCTCTTCCTATGTTTTCTCCTCCAGGCAGCCAAGTAGCCCTTGCAGCTCTTCCCCCATGTCCCAAGAATTGGTGAAAACTAAATTTAGGGGTAAAATGTCCACTACACCCATTTGTATCTAAGCAAACTGTCATCTTCAGTGACTCAACACTGACTTGATGGTGTTCTGTTTAAACAATGCAGCTTGTCTGCGTAACTGGCTTGCAAGTGCTTTAAACTATGCCTCTGTCCAGCTTCCTGGTGTGTGTGTGTGTGTGTGTGTGTGTGTGTGTGTGTGTGTGTGCATACATGTGTGTGCTGTGTTCCACACCTAACCAGAAGCATCACCTGCAGCTGAAATTTATGTTAATTCAAAACAGCATCAAAAATGAGGCCATGCAGAAGCTGCACCTACCACAGCCAACACCAGCTGCCCCTAACTTCAGACTTGGCAAGAAGACCGTCTCGGGTGTAAGTAGGGAGACTGTTAGAGCCGTTAGGTTTCAGCACCCAGCAGCCCAGCAGAGTCCTGGAGGGTGAGTGGGAAGTTTACAGAGCAGATATTATTTTCCCTAATTCAAAAGTGATACAAAACCTAATTGAAACTCCCCATGATTTGGATCTGATTTTCTTCAGGCTCGGCTAAAGTTGGCTGTGCAGCTGCTGACGTCTGTCTGATGCACAATTTAGATGTTTTGTACCCACGAGAGGCTCCTAAAAGAGATGGGTGTGTGGTGCAGACATCAGCCAAGGGCAGAGCCCGTAAGAAACATAAGCAGAAGGCACCAGGGAAAGGCAAGGTCTTGAAAGGTGACTCAGTTTAGATTTTTTTCTCCTTTCCCAAACCACTGCCATGCTGCCAGCCAGCTGCCTTTTAGGAAGGAGGGGATGCGTGAGGAAGAGAGTTCTCTGGGGAAGGGGAATAAAGGAAGGGAGACCTATGGTCTCTGGTAGAGCAGGAAGTGTCCCGAGCTTGCTGACAGTTCCTCCTACCGTGGGGAGGCTGAATCGGGCAGGACAAACAGACCCCCGAGGACACAGAGCTGACAGTGAGCACCCACATCCAGGTCTGGTGCCCCAGTGCACAGTTCCACATGCCACCCTTCAACGCCTGGGGAAACGGTTCCACTCTCAGGGAGGCAAACGCTTTGCAAAATGTGAAAACCAGCCGCAGCATGAACGGAAAAGCCCATAGGAGTCTAAAGTAAGGGACGAAGCCATGGTTTCTTATTTCAAGACCGCTGAGCTTCTTGAGCTGGTCCACCTCACATTGGCATTTCCTACTGAGAGAGTGCCCTGAAGAACCAAATCCTTAATTTTAACCAAAATCCGACTTGAGAAGCGCGTCCTTTCCTTTATAAATCAGACGCCTGTGTTTGTGGAGAACTACTTGGCAATTTCATTGGAAATGAAACCTAAGGGAGCCTTGTGTCTAATTTTCTGAGTTCATCTAATTGTAAGTAAAAACAACAACAAGCCTATTTTAAAGTAACTTGCACTGGTGTCTGAAGGTTTTCTGTCCTTTGAATTTGAGGTCTGCGAGTTAAGAGTCAGTGACCCTGGATCTCCCAAAGCAGAAGTTGAACTTGTGCAAAGATAGGCATCTGCACAGTGGTGGCAACAATGGGGACCTTCGTGTTCTGTGTTCGCAGCCAGCAAAGAGGGCAGGAGAAGGCAGGAACAGGGAGCAGGGAGAGTGACTAGACCAGGGCTGGATGTGCCGGGAAACAGGAGGCAAAAACAACTGCCCCCCGCTGAGGGCACAGGAGCTGCGAGGACCCTCGCCAACCCCACGGCTGCACAGAGTACAGGTGGGCAACACGGCCTCACCGGGGAAGGAAACTGCAGGGGACAGGGTACGGCAAACGCACTCAAGCTCACGGGAAGTGATGCCGACAACATTACAGGCCACTGCCAGGGACCTGCTTTTGATTCTGAAGGCTGGGAATGTGTTCACTGCTTTCCTGCTTCTCAGACACAACCCCCAACACCACAGCTTAGAGGTTCATTTGGCTCACAGTTTCTTGGGGGTGCAGTCCATGGCTGGCTCCAAGGCAGAAAGAGCACAGAGGGAAGGCCTGGTGGAGGAAGCTGCCATCCCCATGGCAGCCAGGAAAAAGAGAGAAGCGGGAGCCCGGGGAAAGAATGCAGCCTCCCAAGTCCCACCCCAGGGACCACTTCCAACCAGGCCCCTCTCTTAACTGTGAGTTCAGTTACTGAGCTCATCGGGGCAAATCCCCCCATTCTTGGACAGCCCCAGGGTCGGAGGCCCACAGGAGTGGACGGAAGGTGAGTCCTTGGTGTCACATTCTGTCCTGGGGCTCTGATCCAGGGGCTCCTTTCTTGTCCTCCCGACCTGGCACAGCTTGGTCACAGCCATCAACCAAGAGGCTGCATCGTGGGGACCCAGGTGGCCCTGGCCCCGGCCTGAAGGGGGCATGGGGATAGACCTTGGAGAGCCTCCTACCAGGAGGGCGGACCCCAGTGTGCAGCATTTGCCGCTTGCGCTGTGATGAAGATTCTTCAATGATCTCGACGTCCTCTGGGTACCAGAGTCTCTGAAAATGTGACTGTGGTGGCAGGAGCCGAACTCGAGAAGCACTGGGTGGGAGCCGGGCTCGGTGGGGCGCAGCGCGGGTCCCTGGTGCAGACAGCAGAAGCCACACAGACCAATGCAAGCACCAGGAGCTTTATTAAGTGTCACAGAGAGGCGAGCGAGCCAGGGTGCAGAGCAGCTCCAAAGCCACCCATGCACCACTGTGGCCACAGGCCCAGAACACCCCGCGGCAGCCTCATCTGCCCAAGTCTGCCCAGCTCACACCACCGAGGCCCTCTGCTCAGACCCTGAGCCCTGGGGCGGCACCCCCACCGCTGAACAAAGCCGAAGGCCCCTGCATTGCCCTGCCCCGCAGGAGGGGCACACCAGGGGGTGCTCATGGCCCTAGGGTGGGGTGAGCGGGGAGGGGGAGGGCGAGGGAGTCCCCCCAAGCCAAGCTTCTGGGCAGCAGGGGGGCTCGGAGGAACCGGGCAGGGTCTGGGAGCTTCCTCAGAGGGTGGAGCCAGCAAGACCATGTGAG